AGTGAATCTAATTAAAGCAGTCTTTGATAATGGCAATAATAAAAGATTGCTTTAATTTACACTGTAATGAAAGAATTGTGCCATTAAATGTAGCAGGAAATAGTGGAGCTGCTTTTCCAAACTAGGTAGAAATTGCATGCTGTGCTTTTATGATCTCAGTGAAGTCCCAGTGATTGTCTTTCCAGCCATCAGACAGAACTTCAGAAATGAGGTAGTTCCTCCCTCTTCTGAAGGAGCGGTATGTATGGTCCAGTTACCCCGTTTGGTGTTTCCAGTGTGTTTCTTCTCTAATCCTTGCACATCTATCCCCAAAGCCTGTCATTTTAATGGAGCCTGGCTGTTTTTGTGGTGTCTGAATACCAAGCCTTGGGCTTGTAACATTAGAAGTTCTTCTGGTTGGTAGGCTGATTTTTTTTTTTCTCCTTGTAGTTTCTTTTGCATTATGTTGTTTCTTGGTGTCTTGTTGTTTAAGCCAGGATAGCTCCAGAGACATGAAATGACAACTTCTCTTTTGGACCGTGATTCTAGATACCAGTTGGATTGCCAGTCTTTGAGGAGTGGTGTGGTGTGACAGACATGTCAGCAGGATGTGTGGCTTTGCACTGCAGGTTAATCACCAGAGAGCCTCATGTCATTTCTCCACTTTTCTGCTGCAGGTTCTGGTTTCATTTTTGTTGTGTACTGAATTTTATATTTATTTTCATGGGACCCTGGATGAAGCCTGAACTTTATGTTTTTGAGAGAAGAATCCAAAAAAGGAAAGTAAGCAATTTACCCCAGATTATTTCCTAAGGTAAATTAGAATGTTGAAGTTAAGTTCTATTTAATTTTCTGAAGTTTCAGTGTTGCAGTGAACAAGCAAATGAGGTTGCCAAAATATGACTAATTCCCACATTGTATTAGTCTTTACAGGATAAGCTGTTGGAAGGACTAAAACCATATACTTTTAAATATTGAGATACAAGAATAAGATGAGACTCAGGAACCTTAGAGCAAAATATAAAATGCTGCAGCTGGAGCTCATGCTGATTCTTTATATTGTACAGAAAACACCAGCAAAACAAAAAGGAGATAAGCAACTGAACTGTGAATTCCAGGTTCATTTTTCTGTTCTACCTAACTCTTCATAACTTTACAGTGAAAGATTCAGAAATTGGAGCCAATTACCATAATATGTGGTGGTTTGGTGGGAGCATGTTCTACATCAGACAGTTAAAAGGTTTTATTGCTATTAGGAGCTTGTTAATGCCCTTGATAATGTCTCCAGTTGCTTTGTAATGTCTCTTGTTGAAGTATAGAATTCTTTTATCTTCTTATTACATTATGCAGAAACTTGAATTGAAACGATATTTGCAGGAACACTTAAAGTAGTGCATCAATCAGTTTCAAAGAAGAGAAAATGTTCTCAGAATAGGTTATAAAAGGATAACTGTCAGTTTTATTTTGGATGAACAAAGAAACCAACGTAAAAAGCACTTTATTGTAAAAGCACACTGTGCAATTCAATAAATATTCCATATAAATATAAAGGAAAAGAAAGTTCATAATTATCTGATGGCTTGAGTATAATTTAAGTAATACTTCCAGAATACAGCAAGCAGTGAAGCTCCTTCTTTCTTGTGTATTCTACTCCCAGATCAAGTCCTTGGTAGGAGATAGTTTAAATCGACTTGTTAATGATTTGAATGGATAAAATAAGGTTATGATTTAACATTATCTTGCAGGGATGTAAAGCTCCTCACAAACCACCTCACCACATGAGAAAAATAAGAATAGCACCTTCTCTCACTCTCCTTGTTTTTGGTTTGTTCGGTTTTCTTCCTCAAACATGATTTCTTGTTGTTTGTTTTCCCTCTGGCATTTTTTACCTACTCTAACACAAAGTTATTTGAGTATTTATACATTTGGATTACAAACCTTCTATATGATTTGGTTAAAAAACACTTGCACGTGGCATTATTATCCAGGAAAACAGTTGCAAATACTCTGCTCCCTGAACCAGTAGTAGCTTGCTAGACCACACAAAATATGGCATGTTGCAAATCTCATCTTGTAGCCTGTAAACCAGAAGCAGCTCTCTCCCCTTCCCCCCTTCTTTATCTTCTAAAAAAAGAAAAAAAAAAAAAAAGAAAATACCGAAGACTGCACATAGAGAGTTGTAAATGCTCTGCTCACACGGCAAATGTTTCACAAAGAAATTTGAGTGTCTTGCCCTTTGGATCCATTGTCTTTTCAGAATCAGTGTTCACCCTGTGACTACAACAGAATAGAGTATTTCTAGTTTAAGAAATGTATGTTTATTTCTGAAGAGCTTATTTAGGCAGAGAAGCAATTGACTGGCTGAACAGATTTTGGGTTATTTATTTATTTCAGACTGTTTTGGTAACTAAATTCTATGCGCAAGGGACTTCTAACCTTTTTTGCTGGTCATTCTGAAAGGGTATGCAGCATGCACCTGCATTATTCAATTGTTTATTCTTCTTCACTTCTGAAACTTTGAAAAGAAAATTTATTTTTATTTAATAATCATACCACAGTAAACTCACCTTATTCATGCACCATTCTCAATTCTACGCTTCAACCTAGGTATGTTTTTAAACTTGCAGGTGGTTTTAAAATTGTAGGCTATTAAAAAAACTCCTGTGGGATTTAGGGACTTACAGTAGTGATTTCATTGAAGTCTGCTATAATTGATCAATCAATTCACAATATTCACAATGTATTTAATGAAATTTTATTTCCATGACACATTTTTCTACATAGGACTTCCCTCCTTTAACTGCTTCCCCATGTTTCCATAGCTGTGCAGCAGCTCTAAGGGCAGGGTGCCAGGTGGCCTTTGTCCCCCAGCACATCCATACCCCTGCTCTTCTCTCTCTGGCCAGCACCTGCCTTTAGTGTCACAGGTGTCATTTCAGTGCCCCAAAAAGAGTTTATTTCATAACACTTCAAGCAACTTCTAAAGGAGCGCCTCCATAAGTTACTGAGCCCTTGAGAAAACAGTAATTTACTGAGAGCAAGCTGCTGGGTTGCATGCATCTGTGTGCTCTGCCTGGCAAAATAAGGTTCCCATGGCAACCCCCCCACGCTGTGGATGTGACATCCTGTACACAGGTGAGGCTGGGGATGTTGTGAGGCAAGCCCTCCTTGGCCCTGCACTGTGGGCTCTGTGCCTGCTGCACGGGCAGCCTGGTGTGCAGCTCCATCCCTGACTTGCTTCCACACTGCTCTTCCCATTGGACAGGCTCCTTCCCTTAAAACTCGGGAACATCAGCCCTGGCTTAGAAACCCCAAATGCCCAAGGTAAACAAACATCATGCTTTAAAAATATACTGTACAGAAATCACAGTTGAGCCCATGATCATCCTGGCATCTTACCAGAAGGCACTGGTAAGATATCAGATAATCAGTTCTTTCTTTGGGAAGGAATGTTTACTTGCCTTAAATTTACTTGGCTTTTAAATTCGGTTATTAATAAAGCAGCCTTTGCTGACCTGAGGTGAGAGCAGGGGAACAGCTGTGCTTGCTCCAGGAGCATGCATCAGAAAGCTGACTTGAGTAAGACGTTGAAACTAGGCAGAAAGAGCAGTTTGCACTTTATCTGTTCCAAAATGTAGGTTACTGTGCCAAGTGTGATGACGATGGCTCTCATTTTGCAAGAGTTCCTAGGAACTAGACCTGATGTCATTTCAGAGCAGGACTTTGGTTTGGGAGGTGGCCAAGCTCTGCTTTCACCTAAAGGTGCAAAGGAGGTAAAACACAGGGCATTCTTGGGGAGATGGGGGTCAAGGCTTTTTAATCCACTATGGGTTAAACATGAGAGACCTGTGGCATATAAACAATTACACAAACATACGTAAAATTGTTGCTAGTTGAGCTGGAAAGCCTCTTGTAAGATGTAATACTTTAAATATCTCTGAGGATAGGAGGAGGAATCTGGCTTTCCTAGAAAGAAGCGTTTTTGGAGGAGTAGAAAATGTTATGAATAGATGTGACAAAGGCAACGACAAGACAGACTTTTGCATGAAGCACAGAAAGCTGATCTAGCTTGGGTGACAATAGTGTGAACCATAAAGAACCTTAAAACTGATGAGTGTGTCTTGTTTTACTATAGTATGACAAAAAAACAGAAAGAAGGGAGCACCCACTGCACCAGCAGCACCCACAACACCCAGCCAAGAGCAAGAGACATGAGAGACCCTTTAGTTTATCACTTTCTAAATCAAAATGGAGGGGAGGCTTTAGGAGGGAAAAACCCAGAGACTGAGTAGCCTTGCACGGTGTTTCTTCTGGCTGCTAATAATGCTTCTACAGGTGTGACCCAACTTACAGAATGAAACCTCTGGCCCAGGTAGTGAGCATCACATTACTGTGACAGGGCTCACTTCAGATTGCAGCAGAGGAGAAGTGATGCCTTGGCAGAAGAATTGAGTGGGAAGTGACAGCTCTTGCTGTAAAAAAAAGCAGAGTGTCTAAGAGTTAAAATAGATTCTTCTCTGAAATGCCCATGTAGCTTCAATAGCTCCACAGGAGTTTTAGGATTACAAATGACAGCAAAATTTGTGCCATTCTGCATAATTGTGTTCTCTACAAAGAAAGTTTCCTACATCTCCTAGCAAAGACGGTACTTTCATTAGAAGGAAAGTAATTTCAAAATGACATTTCTTTGTGCCAAGGATTAAAAAGATCTAACAAGGAGTTCTAAAAAAAAAAAAAAAAAAGCATTTACACTGAATCCTTTGGTTTTACAGGTAGAATAACGACATGAAAATAAAAGAAAAATTTAATTGGTGAAGGGTAGGGGAAACATCTTCGTTCCCGACTCGTCACTACGTTCATCCTCTCTATATTCACCCTCATTTTTACTGACAATATACAGAACTATATTTGTCTTTACTGAGGTTCAGCTCTGTTAAAAACAATCCAATTCTATCTCTCTGCTAGTGTAAGATTTCAGCCTTCCTTAACATGAGCCTATGACAGACAAGGAACCCAGAATGTCTTGGTTTGGCAATGGTTCAATCCCCCATAACTGTGTTAATTTAAATGTAGTTACAGGCTGCACACTCAGGAAATGCCATCTCTTTTTGCCCCGCCGCAGCCTAGAAACTCTCCGCGATCGCTCTGTTGTCATAGCTGGAGAGCACGAACCCTCTGTGCTCAGCTTGCAGTTCCGACTGCCATGTATGGACATTTCTAATTACTTTGGAGGCGCTCCATTTTGTACTGCATGCATAATTAGTTAGTTATTTACATTTTATTTCTGCATTTTTTCTAGCCGGTACACTAATGAAATCCCGGCGTGACATCAGAACCTTCCCGTTGAAGTGGGTCTTCCCTTCAGGGATCAGCCACCCTTTTAAATTAATGAGCCGCTTACAGAAACAGCTTCATGATTTTATGTGCAGTGTTTGCAAGGAAATTTATAAATGGTCTGACTCCTTTCAGATCCAAAATCTGTTGAAATTAAAAGAAAATCTCCCACTAGTATTGCATGCTTTGGGTCATCTCTTATGTGGATTTTTTTTCTCATGTATTTACCATAACTCAGGGAAAAGGGTCCTCCATCTTTCACACAGAGGAGCAGATGGTGGGAAGGAAAATATGGATGTAAGGAAGCTGATTAGCACTGGAGCCCCCAAAAGTATATAATGGCCTGTAGGTAAGAATTAGTAACCTATTATTAAGAAACTTGTTTTTCATTTGAAGACTTTATTTGAAGAATATAGGGAATACAATTAGTCTCCACAAAAATGGGCTTCTTTTTGAGGCACTGTTTTCATAAAGAAATTGAGAATGTTAATCTTACGTTGTTTTTCTTGTAAGTTCAATTGAACAGAAAAAAGCAAAGCAAACCAAAAAAACCTCCCAACCAAACTAACCCCAAAAAAACAAACCAAAAGAGAAAGGAAAAAGGTGTTGCTTAGCAACAGCCTCATTCAAATGGCCAGAAATTGGTGTATTTGCTGGAATTTGGGAGATATCTCACAGAGCTTGCCAGGCGCATGGGATAAGGAAAGAAAAGAATTAATGTCCAAAATGGAGAAGGGAACCACTGCTGCCATCAGATTAAGCATGTGCACTTGGCTCAGTGTGGTTTGCAGCACACTTCTGGTTGCCTGGGTTCCGCACATTTGCACCTCCTCATGTGCCTGTGTTGTTTCAGTGGTGCAGGACTGTTCCGGTGGCAGGTGGACACTGATAGTTTCTTTGTTATGTTTGTTAGTGTGTTTTTTTCCTTCATTTCTAGGTATGCTCATCTTCTCTCTCCTCAGCCTGGTTTACTCACTAAGCAAGCTTGTCTCGAAGGCAGCACTTTCCCTTGGGTAGAGCTGATGTGTTTGCAGCAGCCACCTCTCCCTTACGCTTTCTTGCCTGTTGAAGAGCCCAACCCAGCGTGGAAAAAGAAGAGCAAAACTGCCCAGGGAGCACAGCTGTCTGTCTGGATGGAGGGGAGTGCCTGGAGAGGAGTGGGGGAAAGGAGGGCTTAAGAGTGTTTATTCCTAAGTGAAATCCTGCACCTGCCATTTTCTCGTAGGAGAGGCAGCCCTTATGCTGGAGTCCGGGGAGAGCAACATCATTGCTGAGTAGGAAGCCCACAAGGCACAGCAGAAGGCTCTATTGAGCTGTTTTGGTGGTGAGTTGCAGCCTTAGGTGTTTTTTTGTCTCTTCTTTGTATACTGGTAGGTGACCACGATGCTTTTGGGCTCCCATGTGGTCATTGTTTTGTGACTTGGACTTTTTTTTCTTCAACCTTTTGTGTTCCCTCTCTTTCTTTCTATGGTGTTTGAGGAAGGAGAGAGAAGTGACTCAGTACAATTCCATGTAGTCTTGATTTGCCATTCACCAGCCTGGAGAGGGATCTTCAGCCTTCACCTCCTGTCCTTAGGTCACACAGGATGAAGAAAATATGACACTGGCATTCTGGATACCTGGACTTCAGGAAAAGCACCCTTGAGGGTGTGCATTATTCTGCATCCCTACTGAGAGCTAATTAGCCTTTTGCTTTCCTCGGTATTGCTAGGGATTTCTTTAATATCACTGTAAAAAGTATTTGTAAGTCTGGTTGTGCTCTTTAGATCCAGTAGCTGGGGCATGTTGCCTTTGTGGCCGACAAGTATTTACACTCTTTGTACAACAGCGGGAAGGAACTGCAGGAAGGTAACTGAATCATCAGCTCTGTTTTGGAATTGACCATTGCTTTATTCCTGCCATTTCTGTTGCTTTTTGGGAATGGCTGCCTTTCCCACACAGCTCCAAGCAAGAAGATGTGCAAAAGAAGAGCCAGTAACTTTTCACTTACACAAAATGAGGAAAGAGCTCTGAGAGGGAGAAAGTGACCACACCTCACAGGCAGTTAAATTTCTGTGGCTCATTTCTTTGTAGAGAATTCTCTACAATAGAATTCTCTCTTCTTTGTAGGGGAAGAATCTCATTTTTATGTGGATTGACTTACCAACTCATTTGCAGAAAGAATTATAAAATGCAAATATTTATGAATCACTGTATATGTTGTAATCTTATTTCTAAAACAAACATTGCTTTGTACTGTGGCTCCTGTGGGCTGTGAGCTGAAAGATTTTCCAGCATTTATCCCATTTTGAGCAATAAGCTGCAGGGAATAAATGCTGCTAGTCAGACTGGGATGCAGTGTCTCCTGGAGCATTTGTGCTCCTGGGAAGTTGTCATCTCCTTTCAACAAGTGTTAGCAAAAATATTCACATTAGCATTAAAACTGGTTATTTTCTGATATTTAGCTTATATTTAGGGAGAGGTCATAGTCAAACAGGTGATAGCATTCTTGTTAAATGTGGCTTGTGAAGTCTGGCTGGGGTTTCTTTTTGCAGGTAGAAGCTTCCTTCCTCTGGGGTGGCTTTTCTCCAGGGGGTGAGTGTGGAGCAGGCTGTGGGAGACACAAGGCATGTCTGCTGTGTGCTGAGATAGGAGAGACAGCTGGGAGGGGAAGGGAGAGCAGGCAAACGACCAAGGGCACCCTGGAGGTTTCGGAGTTTGGTTCCTGCACAGTGAGCCTCCAGAACAGGGGAGGGAGTGCTTTGTGTTTTTAGGAAGGCATGTTCCTGCAGTCGGGATGGACGGGGTCCCTTCTGGGTGGGTGTTTGTGCCTGAGTGAGCTGCAACCTGGCTGGGTGGTGATGGTGGCAGGGCAAGCCCTGTGCCTCCACTGCTGCCCCTTGCAGCTCTCCCTGGGAAACCATCCTGCTGTGCAGTGCTGGGCAGGGGACTCTCCTCTTCTTGGGTGTATTGGAAAACCTTCTGAGAAAAAAATCGGTTGTACCGATTTTGAGAGAAAGCAACTTGTGATCCAACATATTGGCAACTGGTGGGAAATAAGGCTGCTGCCATAAAATTATGCAATAAATATCTCTGCACCATGAATTCTGGTGCCTTTTCTTGATTATATTTCTTCTTATAAGAGGCTATATGAATAAATATTGAGGCTAAATAAAAGAGTAGCCTATCTGCAGGGAGCTGCTTTGTGTCTGGAGCAGTCGGTAATATGCTTGTATACAACTACTAATGGTTTGCATGAAGCCTGAGGACTTCAGGAACTGGGTTAGTTACAAAGGTTAAGACCAGTCCAGATGGATGGGTGCAATGCCCTTTATCAAAATACAACACAAAAATAAGAGAGAGTAAATCAAATGATATGAAGGAAGCAGATTCTTTTGTTGTGGAAAATATCTTGAGCATTAATCACTTCTTCTGCTGGATAGATGCAAACATGAGAAAGGAGATGATTTCCTTCCAAATTACAGTGCAGAGTGTTTTTTAAGGAAGATACTAATCCCTGTGCAGAACAGTAGTTGCTGATCTCCAAGCTGAAAATTATTATGCACTTCTTAATTTGTCTCTATGATTAAGCTCAAATAAATCAGGGTATAAATGCATTATTAGAATGAAGTTATGTAATATGCATGTGCCCCTAATACTAATATGTTATGTATGTCTGCTATATACAGCTGCATGACACAGTGTATTTATTAAAAATCTAGAAATTGTACATTCCTGAAACTGCAGATTTTTATTCACCTGCTTGTGAGCCTGGGGGTATGCAACAGTTATTTATCATTGTACTCTGATGAAACCCTGCTAAAAATGAAACTGCTGTGAAGAAATGTGGACCTACAGTGGGAAACTAAAATTTCAGGTGCTAATACACTTCTGCATATCAAAAATTGACTTATGCCTTTGCTTATTTTCAAGGAGCTCCTTTATAAAAAAAGCAAAGAATATGTAGTCTCTGTATGCTCAGTAAGGCAGAGATAGAAAATTTTTTAAAAAGGCAAATTGAATATGATGTTATGCATTTAGGATTCTTCTCAGCCTGGTTTAGATTTCTCTCATGTGTTTCCCCAAGAAGTCAGACTGCTTAAAGAATAAATGAAATAAAAGTTTAAATTACAGAATCAAGCCATGGTCACAGACGAGGATGAAGAGCAATGAATTGGTGAGTCAGGGCTTTTTTTTTTCTTTCTGTGACAGGTCATAAATAGTTACTGTTTTTGGAAAAATAAAAAGGTAAAAGTCTACTAAAACTTAAAATCTTTGCTGAAAGATTACAAAATGGACTGCAAAGACATTTTATTTGATTACATTTCTAAACATTTAGCTTTCGGGGAAAAGATTAAACTCAATAAAATTGTCACTCTTTTGAGCAGTCTTACAGGTAATAAATAAACAGAAGAAGGCAACTGTCTTCTCTCATTACGCTCATCAGGGTTTTTCTTGGAATATAGACAATGCATCAAGGAGTTTCTTTGTGAGTTATTGGAGGGAGTAATCCACAGGCTAAGCAACATACACATGCATTCTGAAACAGGATGGCTGTTAAGGCTTGCTGAGAGTGTGGTGTACATTAAATACTGTAGTACCCCTTCACTTTTACCAGGCCTGACAACTTTACAGGTTGAAGAAAGACTTAAAACTGGTCAGTTATGGAATACAGAAAACGGAGCAATTTTTGTGGCACAATCCAAAATCTTTTTCTTCAGCCATCATGTGGTGTCTCTTTTTATTCCTTGAGCCAGACTCCAGGAAGGGAAGTAAAGGCTGTAAATTGCAGTAGGGCAGGAGGATCTGTAAACATCTCTTGTTCTGCTTTGCAGATATCTGTATAATTCTGCTGGAGCTGATATGAGAAGGCAGTAAAATTTTAAATAGAAATGTTGGCTATTGCTGCACATTACTGCACAAGCATGCACGAGTGAGAATACTCCTCCCTGCACAGCAATATTCAGGGCCGTGTATCCTCCTGTCTTGCAAGCTCTTACGTACCTGTGTAGGAGTGCTGGAGCAGACTGAACCTTCTGCAAGGAATGAAGGTTTCCAAGAACTGCTGTGGTGATCCATGTGCTGCCAAAGGCACAGCTTGAGGTGAGCTTTGTTCAGAAATGCATATTCCAAGCAAAATATCTAGAAAGAATTAAAGTCAGAATTGTAGTAGTGAATGAAATGAGAGAGTCACCTCCTTTGTATGTTTGAGAAGTGAGGACATTGCACAGCTGGAACCAGAAGTAGGTGAAGTCCTTCTATCAGCATTTCCCCTCATGACTCCACAGATGCAATGTTTTGTAAGGGCTGCTGAGCAATTACATGAGCAATTTGAAAACCAAATGGCAAAAGTATGGCTTATCCATAGGCTGCTGATTTCTAAAAATAGCCCCAAGTACTGGCTATGTTCAGGACAGCATCTCAGCAAGTGCCCGTTTTGAACTTGTCCATGACTGTTTTCATGAACCGAGATGTTTCCACTGTGAAGATAGTGCAGAACTGTCACAAATGCAGCTATTCAATGGTTTGTTCTTTGCACTTTATTTTTTTTAAAACTTAAAATACTTTATGCTGCTAAAGCTTTTCTAAATTTCCCAGTTAAAACAGCAAATGTGTATCTTTTCAGGACTTTGACTGCTTCTGCATATTATGCTTTTAAAAGCTAATTTCCCTTGCAGAATGGGAATAATAGACTCAAAATTATTGTGCTCTGTAACTGAAATAAATCACAGTTCCTGGCCTGTGCTGTTGTCTGCCCAGAGATGGGCATAGGGGGTCATGGTGGAAAAGAAATACTAACCAATAGCAGAGAAATACAAATGTTCTGGTCCAGAGGAACATGTCCATAAACAAATATTTCCTAATGGGTTTCATAAAACAATTGGTTCTGAACTGGTGAAGGGTAAAATTGAGCCTTTATGCTTAATTTTCGTGGGAGTAACTTGTCACAGCAGTTAAGGATTGAAAACTGCAGGGTTTGTAAAGCCCTTCACTGGGATAAAACACCTGTTATTTGCATTGGTGTGTAACTGAATATGTTGGCTTGTAGCACCATCAGCGAAAGGTGATGCTCTCTTGAGCTTTGGGAAGTTACCAACCTCTGAATGCAAAACTCAGGGCTGGAAAAGTACTTCAAGAGAAACAGCTCAGCCTAGTCTTTGGTGACTACCTGTTAACTGAAAGCAAGAGTGGAAGGTCAATCCCTCTGACAGGGCTTCAGAAATAATACTTAAGGACAATATCAAAAAGTAGTGCTGCTGTATTGTGTTTAATGTGGAAATTAAAATATAAGTTGCTAAAGGATTAAGGATCCGAGAAACATCAAATCAAAAAGGAAAGAATTGGTCCAGAGCAGCAGCACATGATGAACCATGGCACAAAAGAGACAAGAACCGGTTTTAAATGAGCACCAAAAGCAAAAGCTGCCATTCCAAAAGCATATTATTGAAGCTGTTTGCTAGCAGCACACCACACAGTTTTGCAGCATAGTGTAAGCTTTTAAAGAATAATGCTTTTACCTTGGATCATAGACTATACTTTTTTATTTTAACTTCTGGTGCTAACCTCTTTGGCACTTGACTTTTGAAACTCCTTGCAAGTTTGAACTCCTCCTAGCTTCTCAGGTTAATCTTTTGTCCTTTGAATTGCTGAAATGGACATCCCAGCCAACAAAAATATTATTTAATTCTTCCTTATGTTTTCCATTAATTCCCTAAAGAACACCAGAATAAACTTTCATATTATCTCTGTATTTCTCTGTACTCAATAGGCTTTAGGAAAGAGCTGGCAGTTTCCAGTCTGTGGGAGGATGGGCAACATTTAGCCCATTTTTTAATTTTTGGATTTTATATCTTTCCTGCACTGGATAGAGCATCTTCTGGGGGAGTTTATGGATTTTCTCACATTAAACCAGTCCATAGCCTGCATATCTCTCTGTATCCTACTTGTCATTAAAATCTAAGCAGTGCCCCTGTTCTAGAATGGCATCTTGTGTTTAATTTTCCTGCCTTCTTTCAAATAGAAATGACTATATTTGCACATAATGTGGAAACTTGGACTCAATTATTTAAGAGGTTGGGACTAGGCTGAAGAAGGAAGTAAGACATGTGTTTTAGAAGTGTTGAAAAATCAAGTAATGATTTGAACCTTATAGTAAAAGTGTCTTACCTGTAAGTAGGTAATGATTCTGACAGAAGATGGAGTGGTATCCATCAGATTTGGAACAGATTTATGCTTAGATTATCAGAAGGGGAAAGAAGAAATATGTCTGAAAAAATCGTGAGTGAGCATGACTAAAAAAATGAATCACTTATGTGTAAGAGCTAAAAGTCCCATTTAAGTATAGTTCTTTTCTGAAAAGCAGATGTCATCTTCTAACAGCTTTCTAACAGTTGACCAGAACATAATAACCATTCAATAACATATATGATAATATATACTATGCTCAGCTTCTTAAATTTGATTTTTATTTATTTTTTCTGAATGATGCAAAATCTACCAATCATCATTTTTTGGGCTGTTTTTTCAGAGGCTTGGAGGAGAGTTATTCCCCATCCTAGAGCACCACTAACACAATTTTCTTGCAAAAAAATGCTTTTAGAAAGTGCCAAAGATTTGAATCTTAATTTTGTAAATGTCATTTCAGTCACATTTGTGCTCTTCGTACTGTCATTCAGGAGCTCTTTTGTGCTACTTGTTGATCATTCCATACCTGTGGTTAGAGATTGAAGGATTTTGATGTTTGAGTTCTCTACATATTCTTGTTTTTTTGGTTTTTTTTTAATGGTCAAAGGCAAATGCATTCTTAGATTAAAAAAAGGAAGAAGAAAGGAGAAAGCCAGGGCCAGTGAGCAGCTGTGGAAACAGGAGATAGAAGGATACTACAGCACTACATATTTTTTAGCTTCTGAATGGAAATGCAATTCCGAATGCAGCAAGCATGGTGGTTTCCTGGTTAGGGTGAGCAAACATCTTGCTTGCCAGGGCCAGGGTGATGTCCCAGGGCAGAGTGTGCTGGCCAGTGGGTGGCAGGAGTGGCCAGCAGCCAAGGGCAGCTCTGCTCTCCTCCTCACCCAGATTTCACTTCAGCACCTGAATTTTTCCCTGCTGTTTTTGGCTTAAACATGCTCAGCCAGGCAATGAAACTGGGACAGTGAGTGGAGCATTTGTGATGGGTACTGAATACATGACGTGTTTCCTTTTGGGATGAGAGCCGGTGTGTCTGCAAGAACGACGTTTTGAAGGAGCAAAGGAAAGTCATACTGATACATCCCTTTACATGGTGAAGTCATGTCATAAGTACAACTTGAAAGAAACCTTTGATGGCCTTAGAAAAGGCAGACTAAGAAAGAAGACTAGCAGAGTTATAAACTACCCACAGTTGTAGATCTTGTTTTTAGTTTTGTTTCTTTTTTCTGATCAGCACTACCCACATCCTGTAATGTCTGGCAGACCTAATCTTTTCATGTAGCTGACCGATAGAAATAAGTGTCACTATAAGCCATTTAGATTGAAAGAAGAAAACAATCCCTTTTGTGTTAAAATCATTCTTCAAAGTACAATCTCAAGAATTATGTATAGCCTCAAGCAAGTCTCATTGCTTGATCAGACTCTGCAAAGAGTGGCTGGGGCAGTTTTTCTGGCCCAGAAATGGAAAAATGATGCTGCAAGTGTTCAGAAAGTCTATCTCCAGCAGAAGGAGGACATAAATCTGAAGGCATGGAATTTTCCTACCTCCATAAATACTTGTGCTTATTCTGAGAGTGTGAATTCCAAGAGTTGGTGTTATCCCTTTCTTTCCCCTGAAGGATGAGGAGGATGTTTGGAGAAGCAGAGACTTCAGGTGTGACAGTACAGTCAGTTATGCTAGGAATACTGAGGATTGATTTTATGAAAGTTAATTCTTCTTCCTTTCAAAGACTGAAGGTTGTATACAAGGGCATGAGAATATATTGACTGGCTGGGAATGAATGTAGGGTTTAAGGAGTCTGAGCTGCTTTGTGACACATGTCATTTCTGGAAAAATGAGCCATCCAGAGAAACAGTTTGTCTGCCCTGATGTGCCAAGGAACTTTATGTATTGGCAACAGTGATGGAGTGAGAGTGCAGCGAAAGCTAAGCATTGTGAAAGACTTGAATTTTCATGAGCTACATAAGCAAAAGACAGAGCTGTCTGAAACACAGACCACAGAATCTGTGCTAATTTAGTGAGTCTAAGCAGCGTGCTCCAGTAGGTACTGTACTGCAGGTGTATCAATAACCTAATCAACAGCAGTTTACAGCCCACTCAGTAACATAAATGACCATAAAGGAAGTTTAGGTAGAAGTTTAGGAAGAAGATATAGAAGGGTTTTTTTGTTGTTGTTTGGGGAGGGGGTTTCTCAGTTTGTTTTGTTTTTAATTTTTATTCCTTTTGTTTGTGGGTTTTCTTTTTTTTAAAACTATTAATTTCCTACTAAAAGATGTTTTCTGCTAGAAAAAAATAGACTTCCAGCAGCCTGAGGTTCTATTTCTTAGAAGGGGTCTTTTGAAAGTAATCTTTTTAGTTCTGTTATCCACAAGTTTGAGAACTGTTTCCACCTGATGGTGGCTTGGGCTGCCTCCTTCTTAAGGTTGTAAATGTTGCCCATCTTCTCAGCACCTTTAACATATAAGGAGAAAGTGACTTGCAGTGGTCTCTTCTTGCTCTGCAGAGAGTTATCTTCAATA